TCATTTGAAGCTATCAGTGTCTTACACGTTTGACTGTAAAAAGGAGCAATTTCGTTTTAAAACGTTTGCATAACTAGAAGCGAGATCATGATTTTCTTTCTACCCTCTCAAAAGTAATTTCCTCCTGTTCAGTCATTTTATATAAGAGTTTTCCTCGCCATTTTATCGTCGTTGAATGCCATGCCAACTAAACTGCTAGGATCCTTAAACTTGTAAATATTAGCTCAAAAACAAAAAACATCAAGGATGGCAAGTTATAAAACAAGGGTATTGCTTTCACTATATGAAGATATTAATGTATGGGTTGAAACACAATTGCCTTTGCTTCAAGGATATATTTCCAGTTTCCCCACTGGACATCTACATCCGGACGAAACATAATAAAGGCAAGGTGTAGAATGGGGAAGCAACTCTGCTCACGCACGCATGTGTTACCATTCAAGAGCTTCGCTCGGGCGCTCTTATAAACTGAAATATTCAGAACATTTTCTACTTCCATTTGGACATGGATGCAATCTCTTCAAAGAACTATAGAAACAAGTCCGATTCTCGTTCGTGTCCTTATTACATTCAGTATCTTGATAATAATTTATTATATATGCACATAGAACTATAGTTTATTGCGTGGAATTGTCAGACAATGCTAGCGGTAAAATGATCCATATCAAGTAATGTTTTTTTGTTGATAAAAAAGTAATGAACAGAATATCTAACAGTGTCTTCAGGACCTCAAATATATTTCATTTGTGTGATTAATATTTTGATATCTTTGCTGTGCAATCGTATATGTTTAAAAGTATAAGCCACACTTGTGAAAGATATTTGGTATTACTGAAGACACTGTAAGATATCTTGTATATAATGGGGTGATTGTAATTCATAGATCTTAACCTAAGCAGAAAAAATAAATGAAGTAGAAAACTGCATGAAATGTTTCTTACGAAGATATGTTATCTTAATTATATCACACACACTTACACGGACGCATACATACATCCATACACATGCATTCGAAAATATGAACTGATAGTACATTGTGTATGCATGACACACACAAACGAACATATTTTTATATAAAAATATGCACAAGTTTTTGTTGCATACACACTTACATATGTAATACACATATATATCCACTGATATAAATACAGATGTGTAAAAACATATACACACATATTGACCTAAATGCGACCTGAAAATATCCTCGCATTTACGATCGCCAAGTCGCCAAATGACGAAACGATATTTTTTGGCGACACAATTTTTACCTACTCTAGGTAGAATGATTAGAATCGGTCATCTGTGGTCATGACTGCTGATTTGCTATCAAACACTAGCTGGGTAAAGGTTACATTGAGTAAGTTGACCGGAGGGCATTACCAACCGACGCCGTCAGGTCCCAGACAATAGGCCAGGCTGCATTGGATCACCATGCTTCAGCAAATATTACTGCCACTTCTCAACATCACAGTTAATACATATTACGATGCAGTAATTAGCTAACACTCTATCTGTGATTACCGATTAGCATTAGCTCTACTGAAATTTAATTGAAATTATTTACAGTCGCGATCGAGGGACCGTGTTGTTTTCACCAACAAATGGCGCGAAGCCCTACTGCACTGCTAAACTACAGAATGATTTGACCGAAAAGGATTATAAAAAAAAATGTGTTTATACTAGAAGCGTGGACATTTAAATCTACTCAAATGAAAAACCCAAAGCAGAATACACTTAGGATGCTTCACTTAATAAATACTGAAATGATTCACGATATTATCGATCACGTGCATACGTAGTGTTAGACGCGAGATCAACATAACAATGAGCCGGATAAAAACATGCACATTTGGCTTAGCGATTTGAAAACTAGCCAACAGAAATTACATGGAACGGAGCCTGTAATTGAACAACTACATTTTCATAATTATGGGGAAAACGCTGAGATGTCGAAAAGTAAGTTGATCGGCGATTCTCTTGCATCGGAATTTGCTAAATTTTCTTCGTTTGGTTTTCCAAACCCACTTCGTATACGTACTTGATACAGGGACCGACACATTCAGCAGGAATTGAGCAGACGAATCAAATATTGACACTCTTCGATGTTTTCCTCAAACCATCTCCCCCAAAATATGACAGATATTTAACCCAAAATGGGCAGTTGACAGGCGTGGTTGAGATATATAAATCTCGATGAGATGATGATAACAATATTGGACATGTGCATCAAAGCTTTGAGTTAAACTGTTGGACATTAAGTGACTTCGGTGCTCATCAAAATAACACAGTATTGTCAGTAGTATTTATTTATTTCCAAAAGATAGATGTATACCTATATAATGACGGGATATAAAAGTGAATTGAAAACTAAAGGTAGTATTGTTTGGTTTGAAGATCTTATTAGTATTGATGAATTGATATGATATATATGTTTTTATTGATTTTATTGTAAATAAACATCATGTCATATATATAAATCATAGTTTCTATACATAATCAAACTCCCTAGGATATCTCGGAGCTGACTCTGTATTAAGAGATCACCTGTCATATGTGACCTTTTTTCCAACTACCGTTGGATGGTCTCTTAATACAGGTTTGCGTGTATATGTACGCCATTGGAAGACATATTTTCGCATTTTGAAACGAGGTAACTTTAACCTCAATGTGACCTTCTACGTGGACTTCAAGAACTAAAGTTGGTGTAAATCAGGTTTCTACACCATATCGAAGGCCACTGTTTCGTGAATGGGGTCCAAACTTTGTACATATGCAGGGAGCAGGGAAATCATTGAAGCCCGGCTTCATATTTAACCTAATTAGCTTAGGGTACCCTTATATAACGGATTTTCACATACTACTAAGCTCAAAACTTGCAGATATAAGGCACCTTTGTGTCTTTTTTCGGCACCATTACTCTTACTTCTATTTTGTTTAACTTAGCATATTAAAGCTGAATACAAATACACATTTTAGTATGGCGAATTGTCAGTTGCTACATGAAGGTCCCTTAGCCCCTTTTACTTGCAAATCAATGGCCTTCGGTAAATTTTGCTTTTCCGGATCAAAACACCTCCGATTTTGGAGCAGCGAACTTTAACATACAAACAAATCAAGAACAGAGTGTAAGTGACTGGTGACTCGACTCTAACCTGCTGAAAACAACACACTACTTCACAGTGTGCCAAGTCAGTAAAGTCAGAGGCACGGGTAATATGTTTAGCCATACCGCCCCTTAATGAATGTTAGAATGGGGTCATATAGATGACTCAGTTGGTGGCCTCCTTTGTTTTCATACACCGATTCCCCCTTCCCTGCTTACCCTGATTATTTTTTCCTCCGAAAGGGGTGGAGTTGGTAAACATTTTAATATTTTAAATAGATATTTTAAACCTCGAAAAAATAAGTTTTCATTTATTGTTACTGTAAAACGTAAACTCGGCAATAAGTATTTATTCCAAAGAGATTTACCGCGCAGAGATTGGCCAATCAATCTGGATTGGCTACAAGCTAATTTGAACTCAGCCCCTGTGAACGTGTATTGCCTTCTCACACCATATCTAAAATCTAATAAAATGTCACGAGAAATACCGATAGTTACGATCGGCAAATGACATGCGAGCTGTAAATTGAGTATGACATTTTGGCCATATACGATTGAATGTGTGCACAAGGAGCCGCAGGTAAATGGTGTCAAAATTGATGCTGTTTACCAAGTTTTCCTAAATAACTGTGTTTTAGATGTGAATTCGATCAGTGACTGGCATGTGACAGAAACTTATTCTAGCTGTCGTTCGAGAAAAACGTGCAAACTGGTCAACGCCTATACAGAGCAAACTGCACGGGAAAAACTGTCAATGACACACGGATAGTGTGTATGTGTCATTCTCGGTCATGTATGTGCATTTTCTGTGTGAACTAGAACATATATGTCAAAGATAAATACATCACTAAATATGCCATTGGAGAACATGCATCTCCAAAAAATATTATGCCATGAACTTTTCCACGAAATTTATTTGAGTTACCAGAACTACAGTTCAGAACTGTTAATATCATATAACTATGCAATAGCAAGGTTACCTTAACCAAACAGTTGATATAACGTTCAACATAGTGACACATGGGATCGCCACATGCTGACGTTAGAACAATTAGGTTAAATAGGGTCAAGTAAAAAAAAGGTCGGTATTCTTGAATCCATTCTCCTGCCCAAGTTTGGATTCTATGCTCAAACTAACTTTTTTTGTAATTCGCTTATATCATTGCAAACGATCAACATTGAAAACAGAATTTGGCTTAGGTCTCTTCGATTTTGTTCCCTTTCCATTGACAATATAAGACTTCTTTTATTTATATATAACCGAAACAAGAAATTCGGTCGAGCACAAAATCCATGCTTGAACATGAGTATGTGTCAAGGTAAGCGTTGAGCATAGTCATGTCATAGTCGCCTTCTCGGTTTACTGCATCGAAGTTGTTACACACTACCCTTCAAATATTCAATAAATGACAATTGTGTTATGTTAATTTCTGCTTTCGTCAGTAACAGGCTGGCAGATAACAACCAATGCGACACAATGGTAACGGTTTATTAACAAAGGTCATAATAACTGTAATATCTGTTTTCCTAATGATTCACCAATTAATATAGAGACACCGGTCTAACGTTAATTCTATTATATTTCTAATTTAGTTTCATCGTCTGCTTCTAAGGTCTGCTATTGACTTGACCTAATGTTTAAAATATTCAATGTAAACATCCATTTTCCCTTCATGTACTTTATTATGAAATTCACACAAATATGGTATTCAGTAAAAATATTCAACCGAATATTTGACAAACGCTACGTAAAAGCTACGGAAACGTTATGCTGTGCTCAAAATTGATCAGTAAACGTGTACGGGCCTGTAACGAGCTGAAATATATTCCGGATGATATATAACAAAACAACTGATAATATATAACAAAACAATTAGAAAAGAAAAAATACACATACCGGTACCGGGAAAGAGATAACGGCTGGCTTCCGGAGCTGGAACATGAAGTTAATGGCTATCCATAACAAATTTACGATTGCCATGCCAGCGCACACGCTATTTCGGAGTTCTATCAATCGAGCTGCAATTTCCTTCTGTTTTTCTTTGTCAACATCCAGGGGATAAAGATACCTGAAAGCGTAACAAAAAATCATTATCAATGACACCGATACGATAAGTTTCCGCCGACTTAAGGTAGTTAAAGTATTGTTGGTAAGTTTTTCATTTTGTAAGGTTAAAGTCGCTAAACTGATGACTGAAATTACGTACGAGACAACCTTATTACGTTTTAATACGCCTGAAAACCTCATGTTTACGGATTGAAAATATAAAGGAGATATGCTAGCATTAGGCCTTGAAACAGAACGAATCTTTTACAAAAGGTCACGTAATGCTTCTGATCCTCGACATTCAAATACACCTATATGTTAACGTTTAGTTAAGGATAATTACAACTTAATGACGTGACGGGTAAATGTTTAAGATATAACTTTAGGCGTAACAACTGCAAAATAGTAAGGTTTCCACTGAATGCAGAACAGTACATCTATGTTTTAGCTATTCATTGCTGAATGCCATTTTACTGGCGTATTGCATTAATAGTTTCAAAAAAAACAAATATTAAATGAAGCAATGATCATAGGGATTCTCCGTAAACTGCATGTGACTTATTGCGACCGCCTTTTATCCGTCGTCCACCGGCCGTAAATATTTAACATTTTTAACTTATCAAAAAAATGCTGAATCGATATTAATACAAATTTTGCAGGATGCCTTATATGTTGTATTAATAAGCAGGACAACCAAAATTGTGAATTTATTGTTCGGCAGGTTTTCAAGAGGAAATTATGAAAACTCGACATAGAACGGTAATTTAATTGTATTAGACTTGAAACTCTGAAATATTCATCGGGTGCTGGGGACGGAGTCAAAAAGGAGAAAATTGGCTAACATTTAAACGATAATCTTATGGGCAAGATATGGTAAAATCAAGCAGTCGTCATGAATGGAAAGGTCCCGTGGAAGATATTTTATTAGAAGATGCTTTATTAAAGTTGTTAAGGACGATAACATATATTGGTTCATTTTGCTTCATTTGTATTTGGGGATAGTTCAAACTTGATTAAATCATAACTATGATACCAGTTTAATAGTAAGAACCCTTAATATTTTTGGGTAAGGTCCAAATGAGAAAAAACATATAAGACTTTTAACAGATAATCTTCTTTAGACCCAGATATGACTGAAAGATACTTAGGTAAAGGTTTTTTTCAAATAAACTCTTTAACTAACCCCCCCCCCCCTAAAAAAATTTCGAGAGATTATGTCGAATCGTCGTTATAGAATCTTACGACGAATCTTCTTTTCAGTTTTATCATCTTTCTTCATACTGCAGTTTTCCGGACCTTTCATATCACCTTTTCGCTTATCGCACACAGTATTATTGGGCCAACAATGCGGTTAGTATATATAACTACTGTCTTCGGCTTTTGTGAATTTTTTATTTTTTTAAATTCAAATTCGCTACATGGAATGTTTATCAATTATATTACTTTTTTTTAACCAAATTAAGGTCTATTAATCATATCGCCACATTGTTTTATCGGCGGAATCACTATGGTCCTATTTGCTTCACATGTACCATATCGCCCTGATTCATAGGGTTATGTCCATGTCACATTGTAATATATAAACTGTATCTAATTGTGTGGTTGTTAGAGGCCACTGGGCTTCTTGTTAAATGCACTTATGCAAAACGAGAGTATCGGAGTATTTCAAACTATGGAAATTGAAATTGCTCATTTTGCAACATAAACGATTCATTCAAAGCCACTAAAACCAAAGACATTTCTATTGTGCATTAATTAATAGCAAATTTCATTTTTAGTCCTGCAATAATTGACCAAGTAATTGAGTTGAAACCGTCGACCAATCAGCTAGCAGTATGCTAAAACAGTATATGCAGGTTTTGATTACCTTTAAGCAAAGCCTTTCTCGTTGTATTACATATATATTCACCAGGTTTCATCAGAATCGTGTTAGATTTGACGAAGTTATTGTGCAGAAACCGCAAAATAATAAGAGCACAGCTTGCTAATCAATTATGCGCACATTTAGCTCAAATTGGAACTTAGCCCCAGTCTTCATATAATGAAAAAACATGTAAGTTTCATCAAAATTCAGTGATATTTTATCAAGTTTTCCTGCGTAAACCAAAGTGTGGACGGACGGTCATAACATATTACGTTCCGGCAATACTTTGATGGGCATATGCAAACGGAATAAATGTTATCAGTACAATCTATTAAGAGAGGTTGCTGTTGACTTTATCATCCAAACATAATGCCAAACTTGGAATGAAATCTTACTTGTGAATGAAACCTCTCCAGAACTGTTCCTCTGCAGCTTTCATTCGCAGGATGGGTCCATTTCCTAGATTCTCCAATTCTACCCACTCTGGACGTTCCATTTCATCTCGATCCTTCTTTTTTGTGTTTTCCAATTCTTCAAAGCTCTCGTCGTCTTCACTTGCAGATGTAGTCTCCCCAAACTTCACAGTCTTCTTTAGAATTGATGGTGGATCTTTTGGAACAACAATTTGTGGTACGCCTTCGGTATCCGTTACGCGTGTGTCTGGTTGGTCTCCTTGGTTCTGATGGAGCTTTAGCATTGCTTCAAAGTTCTTATTCATAGCCTTAAGCATATCGGCAGTCTCATCTTCTTTTTTTTTGGTCATTTGCATGTCGTTAATGACTTTAAACATATCCTGAAACTGCAGCTTTGGCATGAATCGAGCTAAAAAACCTTGCTTCTTCCTTTCGTCTTTTTCTCTTTTCCTTTTTTCCTCTTCTTCTATCTCCTGCTTAGTTTTTTTCCTAGGTATTTCCCTTGTTCCCCAAGATATGTCGTGCATGTTACAAAGTGAATATATCACCAGAAGTAAAAAGCCCATGGGTACACAAACAAAATAAAGTGCCCCAAATATGATACAGCTAAATTCTTGCGGATGGAAGCAAGCAGCCACAAGGAATATGACAACCAACGACGCGAGGAATATCACACTCGGATGGAAGGGATTTTCTTTCACAGCTGTTACAATACACCCGACGAATACCACCATCATGATAAAAACGTAGACTGCACTGAGCAGCTGAGCCACAAGGAGCTGGTACTTGGATTTCACCCAGAAACACATGAAAAAGTACAACACAGCGGGGACAGAGGATATCAGATAAGATGTGAGTAATTCCACATTGAAGACAGTTACCAGAGCTCCAGCTATCATCATCAGCACTGTAGATGGGCCAATTACTGTGGATACCATAAGACATCCTATAACAAAGATTTTCAGTTCAGTGACATCACATGGAAATTGTTGAAATATAAAATTAGGTAGAAATAAACTAGCATTTTTCAGATATTCGACTTATAATGTACAACAAATAAACTAGAAGCTGTGATCAAATACCCATACTCAGATTTCATTACCATATTAAATAAATCTGATTAATACATCATGATGTAAAGCGATACAAGAACAGTGATGCTATCGTAATGTCGTGAATATTCACACTACATTTATTCGCTCAAACCACTACATGGGCTACGTGTTTAAACGAAACCATCAACCTGTATTATATTAAGGCACCTGCGAATGATTTGACGACAAAGTTTGAATGAAAGTTCGAACATGATTTAGTTCTTAATAGTTTGTAGACGCGGTTATACCTTGGTAGAATATGTAGAGCCAGCTGATATTGTTATTGATAGCCACAGTATTTCGTCCATCCTGTAACAAATCAAGAATGTTAGCAATGGTGGAAGGCATCCATCGTCGTCTCTGATTGAAGAACTCGTCAAACCCCTCAGGAGCGTATGTGAAGGCGTCTGAAGCGGCTGCATAATCAACGCGGTAACCCTGTTGTAGGAGAAGTGTGCACAGCCATCGATCCTCACCTATGTATCAAATGGCCAAATGAAAACATTTCATTATCTCAAATAAATAAACTGTTTCTATAATTATTTGATTGATATCAAAAATGTAACGCAACTGATAATCTTTGATTATTGGAAAATTTGTACTTATCATTTGAATTCTAACTAAGACTGCATAGTTAAAAGAATCAAAGAAACATCGTTCAATAAATTAAAAACTAATGCCTGTATCTTTCAATGATGTATGAAAATCTTAAAATACAAATGTACGCGGTTATATATGAAATGCATATCAAACTACCTTGATCATACATAAGATGATGTGATGCTTCACTTGGAAGGATAGTGTACTTTCTCATGACGTTGTCGTCCATAATAGCTGATCCTCGGAACATGCTAAAACACCCTGGACTGCACAAAACACAGCCAAGGACATGTTCTGTGGATTTCTGTAGCCAATGGGCCACAGCATATTCAAATTTCTGGTACCACACTACTGGACCTGTCCAATAAATGCAAATATTCTAAATATTTCGCAAATTATCGGTTATTGGAGAAAACAAAATACCGTAGAAGTCTTGTGAAGAAATGCATGTCTTTGCTTATTTTTGAAATGTAATGTTATATGACGGCAACATTTAACAAAGACGAAACACTTAGGTAACAACTTGTTGAGAGGAATGTGCGTTATTAGCCTTTACAAAAATTTCACCTACACAGACACTATTGCTATGACAATTACGACAATACATAAACATGACTCGTCTCTGCCACAAGCTTACTAAACAATATTTACCTTTTCCTATGGGATGAATACGACCACAAGCTGCCCCAACCCTGTCGTTCTTCTTCATCTTATCTAGAAGCATGTGTACTGCCCCTGGTGTGAAGTCGACGTCACCGTCAAGGGCCAAGAGAAACGTGTTTTGAGCCTACCATCATAAACAAAGTATGAAACAGATATTATAAATGAGAGTCTCAATGTTGATTGATAACATTTTCAAAATTGGAAGTGTAACTATTACACGAAAACACGATAGGTGTACTCAAAACTCGGATAAGTCGAGCAAAGATTGCCAAAACATACTTGCAAAGACAGCCATCCATCTTTGCAAGTATATATGTAAAATGACACATGCTCTAACTGCCACGAATTCCGATTGGATACAATGCATACATTATTGCTTTAGAACCACCAATAGGCTTATATTTGTATTGCCTAAATAGTAAACAATTTCAATGATTAAGACTCACTCTGTAAATAACCTCCTCGTCCAAAAATTGAAAAATTTGACTTTTCTCCACTTTGCCAGTGTTTTGGCTTTCAAAAACCCGCCAACTGACCAGGTCGTTGAAGGCGTTTTCACTCATGGCTTTTATGACAAGCTCCTGGCACTCTTTGAGGATCCGGTATCCAAGTAAGTAGTACATGTACATGACCTATATACACACATTTTAGAAATTAGAACGTTATTATTCTTTAAAGAAATAATATAATCTAACTTAAAAGAGGATTGGTGATCTGTGCTTGCATCCTTTTCATTTACAAAAGCTAATTTTATATACCCCGATATGTGGAGTAAATGAGACAATGAATTCGTGTTATCAAATTTCGAATGTATAAGGGCCGGGCAGCTTAACTTACGATGAAGGCAATACTAATGGCTGTGATCACATTGCTTATTAGTTATAGGTTAGACACCCGTGTTTATAAATTTAAGGATATGTCATTAACAATGTAAGCACGTACCTGTGACCATCTTTTTCTGTGCCGTATTTTGTTCTTGTCTTTCAAGTGAATAAACATGACATTTTCCCCAGGCATGAGATACACAAGCTGACCACCGTACGGAGTTGGAATTTTGCAAGGGGCATTGATGGTCATTGCTCTTTCATGAACAGAGCTAGTATAGATGAAATAAATAAAAATGGATTATTCACATAGTTATATGGATTGCTGATGTGTTATAAGGTTTCAATCCGAGATCAATACAACTCTCCTTTCATTTAGAAGAATGACCTTGTTTTCAAATAACTGATACGACAAAAACATTGGACATTGAATGATAACATGTTATCAAAGAAAAGTAAAAAAAAAAAAGCAAACCAAGCAAATGGCAAAACAAATTGAAAAGACAAAAGCAGGTGATCTGGAATACTGAAAGAATAACATAAACTATGACACAGGCTGAACATTTTTCTACAGTGTTTCTGTATGGAAGACAATACCTGATACCTTATTTATAAGTCAAAATGCTTGATCTATTACGACATTCTTGGTACATTTACCTGGTTGTTGGGTAGTGTTGGATAGAAAAGAGAGAAAGATAAACGAAAGAGTAAAACTCGACTGTCATACATTGGGTGATATATTATTGTCACATTAGGTTCCAGAGAATAGTGCATACTGATGTAATGAGAAATCATATACTAGGTCTGCTGCATTTATGCAATTTATTACTCATATTTCCCTGTACACTTTAAAAAAGAGGTCCAGGGGGCATGTATCGCTCACCTGGATAATAAAGCAACCACAGGACCTTATTCTTATAACATAAAATACCTCAAATGGTACAGATGAAGAAAGATTGTAAAGATTTAATCATCAAATTCCCCTATTTAGCCTCGGTACTCTGCACCAAGTGGGGCCACATTATCCATTTATACCAAATTAAGCCCCCTTTGCCCAAGGATAATTCAGGCTAAATTTGGATGAAAGAACACATTGGGATAAAATCCCTTAATCCCGATGGTAGAAGAAAAAATAAACACCTCTATTTCCCCTCTTGGGCCCTGTCCCTCTGTCCCTCAGGAAGGCCCAAAACCATAAATTATACAAAATTGAGACCACTTGGCCTGAGGATGCTCCAAAGCAGATAGGGATGAAATTCCTTAAACCCTATGGTAGAAGAGAGATATCAAATTATTTACCTCTATTTCTCCTATTCGGCCCCGCCCCTCTCTCTCCAGGAGATACAAACCCGCCGTTTATACAAAATTGAGTCTCCTTGGCCTAAGGATGCTCCAGACCAAACTGGGATGAAATTTATTAATCCCTTAGGTAGAAGAAGTATTTTAAAGGTTTAACCTCTATTTCTCCTATTTGACCCCACCCCTTTGCCTCTAGAGGATCGAACCCCAGCGTTTATACCAAATTGAGTCCCTTTGGCCTATGGATGTGTCAGACTAAATTAGGATAAAATTCCATTTCCCCTGCGGAAGAGGAAATATTTTAAAGGTTTAACCTCTATTTCTCCTATTAGACCCAGCCGTTTATTCCAAATTGACCCCCCTTGGCGCAAGGATGCGATAAACTAAATTATGGATATCGTACCTTGCTGCTTCCTCCATTAGGTCGACGAGAAGATTAACAAAAGAGTTCGGTACTCTCTCGTCATTGTCGTTGGTTTCAAAGGCGTCGTCAAAGAGAATATGTGCTGTATATATAATAATAAAAATTAATAACAATAATATACACCATTCGATATAGCGCCCTAGAATAAACTTGTCCCTGCAAGTAGGGCGTTAGAATTGTACCTGCTGCCCCCATTGCATGATCGTAACGGGCAACTAAATTTGGAATCTTTTCTTTCTCTTCTTTCTAAACAACTTTCTTCTTACTAATGTCTCCCTTGACAATGCCTCACTTTTGGCCTTTAGTTGAGCGTTCGCCCCTGTGAGGAAGGCTTTGGGTTCTGTCCCCTGGCCGAGACATACCAGAGTCTGTAAAAATGTTAGTCGCCCGTTGTCAGTATAGTGTGACCGTGTGGAGTGTCCTGCTGGATGTTTTCGGCAGTATGTTTCAGTGAGTTAGCACTGTAAAGTTGGCATCAGTTCCGCGCTATCACATGGAGACAAACACGAACATATCGCAGCCTCCCAAAACACACACGCATACAATACACGCATGCATCTTGCACACAGGGGAGGCCGTCCTTAAATGACCATAGATGTTGAACAAGACGTTAAACAATACTAAACCAAACCAAACCAAGCCCTTGAATGAGCCATTCTAACGCGCTTTACAGTACAAAGATATACAAATAACACAATTAGTATATACATGAGCTGCATTATCAGGAGCTATCTACTAGTCATATGCCACATGGCTTATATCTCCCTATGTGTATATGCCTGCGTGTGTGTTGGAGATGAATTGTGTTCTGTTTGTAGTGGGATCGTGCTTCCAACGGCTTCATTTATAGTGCCACCCCACTTGAATGCTACAGCACATATACCGCAACATCAACCCATGACCAATGCATACTTCACCTGGGTTGTTAGAGTATAAATGAAAATGATCTGTTAACCTTGATAAAGGTTTGTAATATATATAAAGAGAAAATGTTCTTCTATTAAAAATTAAGCATATTTGAAAGAGGGAATTTCATACAGTCGTTAATAAACTGCAATTTAAAAAACAAACATGTCACATGATAGCTCTTGGTGCATATTTCAATTGATAAGAACATTTCCAACTAATAATATGTATTATTCAAATGGATATGACCACTTACGTTCAAACTCATAATATTTTACTTCGGACGGTCTCACATCAAACTCTTGTACCGCCCTCTTCCGTAGAAATTGATCTTTATCCATTCTGAAACAGTCGCACAATAAGCAATACATTATGTTTATAAAAGATGCATAAGAACGTTACATTGATATATCTTTATGTTAAGGAGTAATCCACACCCAACTTTTTGAATATTTTGGTACCTGAATAATGACTTAAGAAGCTGAACCATCTCCTGTCGTGTCTCATGCCACATCGTTCCGCATGCGTAGATCATAGGAGGTATGGCATCCTCGATTTCCTCCTCATGTGTCCTCTGCGACTTTACTAAGTTTAACCTTTAGAAGTAAGAAATGTTTTTTCTTTTCTTGATATTGGATGTATGCAAACATAGTTTAATACGTTTCCGACTTCATGATTTCAAACTGTCACAATCACTTTTATTGTTAAGTAACCCGTTCTGTCACAGTAGCTGAAGACAACATAAAAAAAATATCCTAGTTATTTTGCAACTTTGTCATAGTGTAATTATGAATCAATGCAATTACACGTGAATAGTTTTCTTTGTAAAAGGACATTGCTATTTATATTTCTCAAAGTGAATGTATTGTCAAATGCATTTACCTGAAGCATGTTTGCCCTTTGATATTCACTTTGGCTATTTTTCTTGTGTGACGGCGCCGGTTCATTATCAGATCCTGTTCCATGATAACACCGCAATATACAGGACTCATAAACAAGCTGTAGCGGGACAATGCAATCCATATATTGTTAGCGATAACATTTAAACCTTCTTAATTTATCAAATTGTAAACTTGAAGCCCGAAGATATGCAAATACTAGCAAGATTAAGTCTTAGTAGCTTGTTCTATTTCTACTATCACATGGACTTTTTAACTTTAAAAATTATGATATTATAGTTCATGTATAATATGATCTCTGTAATGTATATCACATATATCCACTCGCTGTATAACACACAAATAGCTGTATATTATCTACTGTATATCGTCATACTGTAAATTACAAAAAACTGTATATCGTCATACTGTATGTTTGCACAAAAAACCTGCATATTGTAATAGTGTTATTAAAAGAAAACGGCATATCGCCACCCTGTATACCACAAAAGCTGTATATCGTCATACTGTATATCACAGCTTTATCTAAAGCTTTTATTGAAAGTAATCATCTAAATGCATGCGTATCAAAATGTAATAACCCTCGTTGTGGTTCTTGTATAGAAGGAAGCGATGTTAACTTAAAAAATGGTTTTAACTTTAAGTTAAAAACATATGAATTGTCAATCTAGTTATGTAATTTACGCATTGATTTGTAACAATTGTTCTGAATTTTATACCGGTCAAACGGGCGGTGAGCTACGAACAAGAATTTGACTGTACATAGACAGCAAGTACTAATAGACAGTTTACTATTTTTACCGGTAAGTAAACACATACACGCTTGTGTTGACGACAAAATTAAAAATATTTCTTATTTATCAAATGATCAATGCAGACGTAATCAAACGTGAGGCTAATGCCCCCATTCCACTAGGCTACGACAGGCGGCGTCGGTGTCGGTTAGCCACCATCCGACAGCATCCGACAGGAACGTAGATTGACCGAATATCAACCAAGCACTGGCCGAAGGGTGACGTCGAGAAACCCCAACTGATGCAGAGTGACCGAGAGAACATTTCTGACCCCGGCAAATTTTGAGCATGCATAAAAATCGGCTGCGACAGGCCAAGATAGCATTTTGACCGAGTACTAACCCTCATCAACCGAACTTCACCGCAAGGTGACGTAAGTCTAACCGAATAGCAACCCCCATCGACCTAACACAAACCCTGAGAAACCCTGCCTGTCCGAGTGTTTTATCAGACTCGGTCAACAGTGCGTTTCTCTGCGTTGGTGTTACGTCACAGTCGGTTGCTCTGAGTCGACATTCGGTCACATTCAGTCAGCAAACAATGTCAGGGACCGTCATGCACTGCCTGGCGGGGTTAGACATGGGTCGCCATTCGGTCATGCTGCGTCAGCCTGCGCCAGTGTTACGTCAATATTCGGTCAGCTTGGGTTGTAGTTTGGTCAATGTCGGTTGCTATAAATACGGGTGCGCCACATACGATTGGCTAGTGATACATTTGTTTTCCAAAGCATCATGCCACCAAAGAAATCAAGAAAAACGTTAAGACAGGCAATAAAGAAGACGAAGGGCAAAGCCGTGATGCAGCCCGGAGACACTCCAACAGGAGACGACGAGCACCAGGTAGAGGTCCAGCCAGTTGTTGAAAGTGTGGGCCAGGTGATAACCATCGTTGGGCAAGGGAAGCATCCAAGAGGTCGTGGTCGTGTTGGAGGGAGCAGAGGGTGTGGACGTGGACGTGGCAATAAAGATACTGTAGCCGAGGTCATGGATATGAATCGTAAATGTGCCATTTGTGTTCGAAAATGTTCGAAAATGCTCGAACAGTTTTGCGACAGCCCAAAATTTACTGACCGACCCTGATTGACACTGACGCAACGCAAGTGAAATGGGGGCATAAGGAAGCCGAAATCATCAGACTTCTTAGGCCTCGTTTGAATAGTACTGTTTGACTAATATTTTATAATGTTCTTACTTGATGTAAAGCTTAAGGTAGAGAGTAATTCTGAATATTAAAGGATGTCCATACGCGAGTCCCTATCAATATTTTTTTTATCGTTTTTCCTTTGTCTACAGAAGAGTAATATCTGCTTATTTTCACCCACGCAATTGATCCGGTGAAGTGAAATCGGTAGTGTGTCGGAACAGTAATGTAATGGTCCCCAGTTTGCCCCACGCAGTAAAAGTTTTTCTCTCTCAATAATTGATACATAAATAATAGTATTAATAGTAATACTAAATCCTAAACCAACAGTACTCCTTACTTAAGAACATCATTATATATTTCTATTGCTGTGATATCGCTACGGCGGGTACGCATAAGGCGGACGTCGCTTTAGCGAACTATTAGGTGACGTCATAGTTTATGACGTCATAATATCTGCTTCAAATAAACAGTCTGAAGATTCTTCTTGATGAGATGAAAGCGCTTAAGACTTGTTGTTGATAATAAATAAACAAGTCCCTGCGAAGGAGAATATAGAATAAAACAATAAATATGCAAGATCTACCGCTAGGCCTTTCTGCCTTCTAGGGCTTCTTCATCTTCAAACAAAATGACAAGAGTTTCTTAGTACTTCTCTAACGCTTTCCCCTGATGACCCTCTAAAAGAGAGAGAGAGAGAGAGAGAGAGAGAGAGAGAGAGAGAGAGAGAGAGAGAGAGAGAGCGGACAGACAGATAGACAAACGGACTGACAAAGAGACAAACAAACGGACGGACAAATATGTCAATGTACTCCAGTTTTATTCATATCGTACTGAAGATATGATAATTCAAAGTAACTGATCAAGACATGCTTTTCGTCTTTAAGTCTGGTAAGTGTATGCGCCCGATCCCCCCACTTTAAATGTTATATTTCTATGGAATTTGATGACTTATTCCCCCCTCTGAGACTGTTCAATATATTTTAAAACAACTTCATTTCTGTTCACACATAAAGACCGAGGAGAATAATAATGTTTTACTCAGATCAACTGAACTAAAAGATGGACAACATTTTAAATTGTGGATCTTGTCACACGTTTCGCTCTATTTTAAATTGGCAGTTTAATCAAGAGTTTTAAATCCGGGTAATGTTGACGAAACTTTTTCATAAATGACCTGAGTCGAACAAATGACTGCTTGAAATGATTGGTATGTTGTTATATTTCATCAAGGAAAATGTAATGTTCAAATCGTTATTCATATTGTTATTAAGTATATGCAAAATACAAGCAAGAGTACAACAAGATATGGTCAACAAGCAAGAACAAAACGCAAAACGGTAATCAAGCAAGAACAAAAAGATAACAGGGTCATGAAGCAAGACCAAAACATTACAAGGTCATCAAGCCAGAACAAAATATAACAGCGTCATCAAGAAAGAACACAATATAACAGAACAATCACGCAAGAACAAAATATAACAACGTCAACACGCATAAGAAAAATATGAACTTATATAATGTGACTTACTGCTCAAGCTTTGCAAGTCGATCTTGACATGGAAACCAGATATGTCGTCCTACCCAATATACAGAAATGAGCCATCCAGCTGCTGCTGGTAAGTGCCACCAGGAATCCATAAAGGCTGCATCACAGGTTCGGGCTTCGTTCGACACATTTAACAGGAAGCCGTGTTCGCAATCAAGATATAGTATGAGAACTGCAATTGGTGTTGATAAAAGCAATGGTACAGCGTAGGAAACAATCTGCATCTGAAGTTTACATGCCGTGTACGCTATATAATGACCAATGAATGCAGACAGGATCAGACAGGCGACCGATGTATATTTGAGAGAGCTTTCGTCAGTTCTACCTAGCATTATGTCGAATGCCGATTCAAGCTCTAGGTTTTTGTCAGGATCCAAGTAGAGGAAAGCACCTACACCGGTCACAATAATCTTCAACGGGGTAGCTACTGCATAGAATATTGGCCGACATTCTTGCAAATCGAATTTCAATCCTAGCATTGCGATCTGTAACCTGTTTGTATCTTGCAATGCTCCACAGAATCTGTCGTCGATAAAGTTTTCCCAATAGGAGAGTGAACAAAGAAAAAGACCAAGAGCAAATTCACCTATTCTTCTATGATCCTCTACGAAAATCCGGTTGTCAATGTAATATTCGTATAAAACAACCACTGGTATTGCAGAAAGTTGTCCCAGGGCTGCCAATAGATCCAATACGAACTCAAACATCTTTCCTCCTTTTGACTTATACCTCATTTGGAGATTCTTCGTTGACGAACATAAAGGTTTTAGGATACTCGGTACCATACAAGTACAGCTGACTAAAAGGACCCCTCGCACAACGTCTATTTCCGGTAGGATTCGAAAGGTGAGAATAGACACTCCTACTGAGTGCAGAATTTCCAAAACTAATACCTAAAGCAAACAAAAATACTATTACTAAAACAGTATCAGAAACATAGTCTATTGTTTAGTTGTAAGTTATGTGAGGTTTATTTGGTAATTGTCACAATGCAAATTTTGATCAGATGTATTCTTCCCGTGGACAACTTACAATATGTCTATTTCGTCTCTACAAGCTATTTCAAAGAAACTTTTCCAAAATAAAAAATCAGGTTTTCGTCTAGCGATAAAAGCAACTTACAACAATGATATTTCTCAAACTCGGAAGCGGGACATTTCCAAACAAAGATTTCCACAGGCTGATGAGGAAAGTCAGGGCGTATGGAATGCAGATGGCAACCAACAGCAGACTGTAACGTGTATTCTTGCTCACGGAACCTTTCTACAATGAATAACATTACACAAGGTTACTTAAAAACCTACTGAAATTGTGCATTGTCTATGAACTTTTGCCAATTTTAACTGAATCTAAATACTGCGATCTGTAAATGTCTGCAATAATGTACGTCATTATACAGTGACATAGCCGACTGTATCAGAGATATGGTTTTCGATAGCGATGCTGATTTCTAGAAATGTTACAAACTATTTTTGTATTCGGAAATTGATCATCCATTTATTTTTTGATGTAAAGAACAGTTCGTTTTGAAATCTATTCAATGCGATAAAAAAAAACCTTACGTCTTCGGATACGAGAGTCACCAAACTGATCTTTTGTACCACCGAGCAAATCAAGAGAAGTATGCCCAACACGAAGTAGGTGACGATCTTCAGAACCTGCATCCAACCACTTGAGCTAAGATCTTCCCTCTTTGATTCACGGCTGATAATTTTGAAGATATCCCAGAATCTGGAAAGTATTGAAACTGTATGTGATGATATGATGGTTTGTATATTTAATTGAATTATTTTTTTGCAACTGGTATTTGTCAAATGTTATGCAATATTATAGCATACTACGATAACATCATAGATACCTCTTTAAACATAAAAAAGAAATCTAAATTATGTCATAATGTATTCAATTTACATTAAAATGTATCTTAATCAATCCAACGGATTGAAATTCTTCCCGGTTATGGACGGTTTGTCAGAAATAAACACGTGTCAAGCTTCACAAGGCGTAAACTTAACACAATGAATATTCGGATTGAAGTATTCGACCTAGGTTTAGACAAAGGTTTTGGTTAATTTTCAGACTATAGTTTAACTAATATATTGACAAGCCAATTACGTTCCACGCCATTTTTTGACAAATAAAGTCACAGCGATCATTTTGGAGTTTAGAATATGTTAAATAAGGTTTTACACACGTATGTAAATATACCATTCACAAACAGGTCAAAACGAAATAGGACCAACAGAACAGAAGCTATGGCCTAAAATGTATCAGCCGAACAGAAGTCATGGCGGCTAACTGGATTAACGTGATCCGCATACTATGTCCTTTTTCACCATGTAGAATCAACAAAGTACAATTTGCCACGAAATATAGTCAACATCGTACCAAAAAATCAAACGTTATATCTAAGCCAATCAGAATCAAGGAATGCTTGCCATCTTGGAATGAGGGATCCGGGTAATATTGCTTTCTCAACGTTGGAATTTCTGTCAAATAACATCTACCAAAAAACGTACACTGACCAATCACAAAGGGCAATACATATATTATTAACCCCTATTTAATTTTTGGTGACATTGATACTGATACTTATCTTAGGAACTTGCTAGCCCCTATTTAATATTTACACTTAATATATACAATTTTATAAATTTCGAACTCTTAGATTTTGAGAACATTTCCGGAAATGGAAGTGTGAACGGAGAGATACACAGGCAGATGGACATACACCGTGATAACTAGAAGGCACCAGCACCTTCCATGTGAGGCTATAATATTAAACTTTACACTTGTACGAGCGATAGATAGATCGCAAAAACATTTTAAGTAAGTCATTGAAATGATATCATGAACACCTTTCAGTTGCTTATTTTCTTGTGATTACAAAACACAGAAAAAGAGCAGAGATTCTTTTGTGTTTAGTAACCAGAATATTCCGTTGTATTGAGTGGGTGTATCCAACAAAAATATGTAATAGGATTCTAATTTTAATGTTTTGTGTCATGTCCTGTGGAATCTCAGACACCGTACTTAGATTGTTTGGATATGACTTCATTATGGATTATTTTAAATTTGGAGTAAAAATAATACAGTGGCCAAACTGTGTTGCAGCATATTGACTTTGATAAACTAACTTTGAATTCATTTATTTCACAAGCAGTTTTATTTCCACGAAATTGTATTTGAGGAGGATGAACATACTTGATAAACATATCTTAAATGAAAGTGTCATTTGTTTTGAATTTTTCATTTACTTCTTTTTATTACTTTTGATTTTAAAATATTAAGCTTTGTTATTATCAACGCTATCGACCGAAAGTAACATATACTATTTTTTGGAAATGAAAATAGAAATGAGTAAACACAGATTATATATGATAGAGATGCTAATTATCTACAAAACTGTTAGACCCGGCAACATGTCCCAGGTCGTTATTACTTCCTGGTAGATCATAATTTTAATATTTACTAATAACCTACTATAATCTTTTGAACCATCACCTCCCACATGTTTTGTGTTTGGTACGAAACGTTAATGTTTGGCGACGCCAAAATATCCCCAGATAAGGCGCTATATACCAAAATATTTTGTTTTATTAGGTTTTAGCACATATACTAGCTAGAATGAGGATGACATGACCATATAACTTTTTACGGCGGTAAATAGTGAAATGCTTTTTCAAATACCCATTTAAGTAATTTGGGACAGTATGATCATAATGCATAAATAATACAAACTCAGGGTCATCCTTCTTTGGTTTAGAATCTTGTTTCCCATTTTCAGTGCTGCTGCTTGGATTAGTGTTTTGATCCAGCATAGGGGCCTTCTTCTTCGTTCTGTGCAATTCCTTATACTTTTTGGGTCCAACAGAGTTTGCAAGTTTGTTGGCATCTATTGGAGTGTAGTTGATCGTAGAACCTGGACTCCTATCTTCATCCTCAGAGTCCGAGGAAGTCGTCGACTTGGTTGCACTTGCGCTGTACTTATAGGAGACTTCGATCCCAGTTCCAGACCGGTACGACGCATTCGGCCTGAACGAATGTCCAATGTCTGGAGAAGGTCTGAACGAATGTCCAAAATCGGAGGTTGCTGTTGAGGATCGCCCTAGATCGTTTGAATCGTCAGCCTGTGAACATTGCATTTATTAAGTGATGTAATAGCTGGAGATAGTAAAATAATCATCAGAAATACGAAAAAGGTAAGCGTCTATTGAAACCTTTAGATTCAACAATGTAGAAAGCCAAACAAATTTAACATTTTACCGCACCAGATGAGCATACCTCATTATATTAATTGAATATTCAATTGAATTCTGACTGTAACGGTGGCCGTTACAGAGTACCCAACCTACTTCTACTGTCGTAAATAATGCTATCGGAAATCACTGTACTTTTTGCAGTACCAAAATGTACATCTATACCAATTAAATCGCACAATATCTTAATTTCTACCAACCGATGGACGCAGCGACCAACCCTTTGGCAAAGGTGCAAGGTTCACACACATCTACACGCATGCTTACCAATACTAATGCAAAATTTCATAGGAATCTATAGTTTTCTAGGCAACGTTTGGACAAATTCATTGCGGGATAAATATTAAACATAAAATAACACCAATTGAAAACGAGATATCTTCAAAATTCCAACTGTTTCGGATGTAGAACATCTCTTACAATGAAAAAATCCACATGAGTTCTATGTGACAATCTTTCTTTTGGAGAAATTTCACATTTAGTCCAGATGTCTGCTCGTCCAATCCTTCACGGCGTCAATTTTTAAAAGTCTTTATCATGATCATGCTGATTCCATGTATTTTCGCACCCAGTACGAACGTTAACACAACCTGACTCATCAAAGTTGCGGCGGCCATTGTTAGAATGTGACTAATCAACAAAAAAGGACTTTAACAACTAAATCAGGCAATCAGCAAGTGTTTCATACGATTTTAATCCATATCTAAAATTTGATCCGGTTTAATACAGTGTGTCTGAGTAATTTTACTGGGTATTTATTGACATATTTTACGTTGAATGCAATCTACAGAAATACAACGGTAGAAAAACGAGTAGCTTTTGTAGATTTGTATTTGTTATGGCGGATTTATATGAGGTCGAAAGTCAAAGGGTATTTCCGTCCCACTTTACCGGTTTGGCTTGTAACCTTCCAGAATCATACGCCTGTAGCGCTTATATATGCCATTAAACCTGTCAACTATGCCCTTTGAAGCCTTTGCCAGGTTTGTATCTATGAATCGAGACAGTTGTCACTAGTGTTGAACATCAAATATTAAAGCTTTTAGCTCAAAAGCTTAGTAATAACATACAGTAAGTGATTTTTGTATGAGTCCAAAAGAAGCGGTCCCGAATTCTTCTAAATAAGAAGTAAGAAATAAGATTCCGTTTTTGGTCCGGATCAGTAATTTTGAGCAATTAAAAACAAAGGACTTTACCGATAGAATGTAACAGCTGTCGGTGATACAAACGGTGGTTTTGGATCAATAAGTACGGTCCCTGGTAAATTGTGTACGCTAATCCCTCCCGTGATCATAGTAAAGTCGACATTAAGTGTGAAAAGGTCGTTTTTTTCCATTGAAACTAGTAAATTTACAAACAATAATGTATTTGTGTTATGTAGACTGAAATTAGTATGCCATTATACGCTATATTTACGATTATATGTAAAAATCAGTAGTTTTCACAGTTGACTACGGCGTTTTACCGCCTTGAAATATACATTATTGTCCATTTCTGAATTATCAAGTGATTGAATTTTTCAATTCTAAATGTCACATTTTAAAAGTAATATTTGATATTATTACAGTTTTTTGCTTTTTTATTAACGATTGCGTTGTTGAGATATTAAAATAACTTTATATTCCTGGGTTTTTAGTCAGGGTCCGTGAACGGCGTACAAGATTTACAGGGGACTAATAAATAGCCTATTTATTGATACATTTGAGGTATAGGTTGTTTGACGACAGATTTTGCTGTCAGCACCTCAAAACTTAGCGTCGACGTCGATGCCAGAGAATTTCATGTTTTCATCTAGTAATGCGCTCTGGCTTAACACCAGACATCTATCTGACAGAATGTGTCAAAATCTGGTGTCGGTGCAAGAGGGAACTTGGGATATACGTCAGCAACGACACATGCATATGCACTACAGGTCCTTAGTTGGACGAAAATAAAACAGTTAATGTGCCCGTACACTGTCCACTGTATGTATGCAATTGAGATTTGTTTACATCCGTTGAGAACATAACAGGGATTTTTTTCAGATCATTTGCTTTGATTAGTAATAGGTATTGTACATAACTTGGCTTTAAAATTTGACTTAGTTTCATCCAGAGATACTAGCCTCGTCTGTCATAAAGTTCATCCACAATTTATTTGCATGCTTACATAAATGAAGGCACAGTGAATCAATGTTCATGAAGAATACACTATATCTGTGGATACCACATATTCCAACACAGGATTATAGAGGCTCTTTGGTACTTAACCAAATTTTCCGTAAAAATGTTCAAAATATTAAGTATTGTTAAGAGTATATATCAGTTACAGGAGTAAGAGAAATACAACGGCCAAACCGGGGTTTGAACCAGAGACCCTCCAAACTCTAGAAGGACGCTCTATCAATTGAGTTACATGGTCGCTGACGATCGACCCAGTGCTTTTCCGCTATAGATCTAACGTGTAGTATGATTAGCTTTCTGGTACAATGACAGTTAATATTCACTCCTACTTAAAATAACTTATTTTTTCCTGTTTACAATACACATATTTGTAATATACAATATTTGATTCTTGTAAACTTCCAATTAAGCATTTAATTTCCTTTTTTCTGTGTATGGTAAGGGCGAAATGTTCAAATACAAGCTGGTATGATATTTCAAGCAGATTTCAATATTACAATTAATTGTGATGAATTCTGCAATTTATAAAATATATTAAGGAAGGTGTAGCAAGAGCAATTGCTATCCTGATTTGTGTCCCGTTCTTTGTTTACCTGGTCCAAAGGACAGACCTGAAAGCTAAATATTATTTACTGCGGCATCTGTCTGTTACCCATCAACAATTTCTTCAATCAAATTCTTCTATAGAACCATGGTTTTGAATTAAAATAAATTTGATGACAAATATTTGGAGGTGGTGAGGATTCAAATTTGTATAAATATTGGAGTTTAACACCAAGAAGGTGAAGGGAGGGGAATAAAAGGGATTAATATGACCATATAGCTTTCAAAAAAACTTCTTTACTAAAAGTGAAACTATGAAAAGGATATCATCCATATTTGTATGGAAGCAGTGTGAGGAAGTCGGAATTCGAAATTGTACAAACAGCGGGGCCGAGGGTTGAAACAAAATTGTACAAACAGCGGGGCCGAGGGTTGGAACGAAATTGTAATGTAGCACGCAACTTTTTCCCTGTAACTTTGAAATAGATATCAGCCATGTTTGGTTAGGATCATTGTCCTGTGAATGCAATTCAAAATGCAATACTTATGTAGGGGCTGACACTCAACATTGCCGAAGGTTCAGAGCAAAAGGAATAACTTCATCATGTGGTTCAGTATTCGAACTTAACAGTAGACCCATAGACAATTACAATGAAAATCACTGTAAATTTATAAATATCTGCGATTTTTATATCCTTGGATATGTGATAGCCTATGATAAGTTTAGTTAAGTGAGCAAAAAGTGTTTTGTTTCCTTACTCTTTTCCTTCATTATTAGACATATTTTCTTAATTTCACCAAAAATATTCGAGAATCTTTTAGTATGTCTATACAAAATCAAAATCTCATTGTCCTATTTTCTATAGTGTGTAGATTCTATTTTTTAAGACTGAATGGTCTTAGTGATCATGCCTCTTGTTTGTAACCCAACTTAATATATCAACAGATCAAAAAGTCAACTGTAAAATAAGGTTTGTTTTGTCAATTTATAACCGGAGCAGGAATTTCGGCTTCAGCACAAAACCCATGCTTGTGAATGATAACTGTTTCATGAATAGGGACCCAGAATTCAAATCGCGAACTAGACCTGCAGACTTTTTACACTTAGAAAACTGCTTTTTATTATATTATTTTCATTTCAGTTTTATTATATTTTTTCGAAAGTCCCACAAGGTATATGTATGTCTTTCTTTACAGACGTCATAAGAATCTTTCTTTGTGAAAGAGGGAACCAAATTGTAAAATTGGCGTTCCTGTCCCTACCCCGGGGGTTAGGATAGGTTTCCAAAGAGAAAATTACCTAGTATTGAGTTCTTTTCATGGATGGAAAGGTCCCTAAGGTGATTTATCATTTTTTTAAATTAAATTACCAAATAGTCTCAGGTCTTCTTTTGGGAGGGGGTTGACTAAAGTTTATAAACTTGGATGGATGTAAGATGGCAATTACATGGCATCAGAAAATAAAATACCTATCCCCTCTTAAGCCAAAGAGATGGGACCCAAAGTAGGAAAATTAGTTTCAATATTATTTGATTTACCATATTTGGTTGCAGAAATTGACTAAATTCTACCCCACCTCCTCCTGTGGCGCACAGAGGGGTTGGTCCAAACAGGTCTGATAAAGGTTAAATGTCACTTACGGACCTGATATAAAAACATTCATATTTTCACATTTTGTCATACATTAATGTGGATCATGTTTCTAAATACTGTAACAGGAGCAGACAAATGCGCGGCCAGATTGGATTTTAAACCCGGGGTTATATGGTCGCTGACAATCGACCCAGTCCAGTTCTGCTACCTTCCTCCCTCCCTTTTCTTAGTTTTCTCCCCAGAAGACAAAACTTTTCATAACCCAAGGTTCTCTTATCCCCTTACCAAGTGTACTCCTAATACTTGAAAAATAGGTTGGTCACAAGCACCAATGTAACAGGAGTAGAAACATACACAGCGAGCTACCTGGTTGCCGACGGTCGACCCAATCAAGTTCCACTACAATACATTCTCAATAAACACAACTTTTGATAAACAATTGCCACTACAAACCTTATTTGAGATAATGTATAGCTTGAAACATGAAGAAAAAAAAGAAGCCCTATACCTCATTAATTATCCGTAAATATGCACGAATCACATCGGTTGGCAAACTTGGCATGAGTCGGATGT